ACAATCCTATATCCCAGAATACCAAGGCAGGAAATCCCACATTATCTGAGTGTGGACTCAGATATCCCAGTTCAAAGCAGATACTGTGGGATTTTCTGTCTTGATTTCTGGGATACAGGGCTATGTGGAAGGGTCCTGAGACTGGATCTACACTGATTTATATCCCAGGAGATTATCCCAGATTATCTGGTAGTGTAGACTCATATAATCCAGCTCAAAGCAGATCAACTGGGATCAGATCCTGGGATATATAGGGTAGTGTAGATCCAGCCTAAACACAGTCATCAGCGGCTGATATTGGTTGTGTGTCTCCCATCCAATTCCCAACCAGTGCCATGGAGATATTTGCTCCCTCGTAGATGTGCCTGGGGAGGGGAACAGTGTTTGAATGTCTTTCCAGCGCCCTCCTCTACTGCAGTGTGGCCAGAGGATGGGGCCCCGGTCGGCTCAAGCAGGACTTTTCCTGAACCCCTTGGATTCAAGGCGGAAGTAAAGGTGCTTCAACCTCTCTTCCTCCGAGGGAGACTCAGGCCTGCAGTCTCAGCCAGAGCAGAACCACCGGGTCAGTAGGAAGGACTGGCTAGCACCAAATGCAGAGGGTCTGCCATGTCGGACGAAGCAACAGCCCTAGCAAGGCTGTCGGGAAAAACAAAGGCTGCCTCTACACCCTAATAATACAGTTTGAACTGCCTGATATGGTCACCCTATGATGCAGTTCATTATATGTTTCTACGGTGACCATATAATATGTTCAACCTGCATTATTTGACAACTCGCCTTGTGGAACCAGCCTTATCTGTGGAGTTTGTTTCTGAGGGGTTTCCCTTTTGGGACTGAGGGGCTTCCCCTCCTGGGCCTCTGAATGGCAAGTTTGCCCACTTGGAAAAACTCAAACTGTGGCCCGTCTACACCGACCCTTTCATGCAGTTCAAACCTTAGCTTCACACTCCTGCAGCTCGACTACAAAAGCGTGCAAATCAAAGTCGTTCAAAGTCGTGCTCTGTGATTTGTGTCATCGCCATCCGGGCCTCAAACTGGTTTTAGAGTTTCCTAGGACTGCACAGCAATACCGGTATAAACTGCATTAAATGGCCAGTGAAGATTTGTGTGTGTGTGTGATGAGTGACTTGAGAAACTGCAAGTTGCTTCTGGTGTAAGAGAATTGGCCGTCTGCAAGGACGTTGCCCAGGGGATGCCCGGATGTTTTACCATTCTGTGGGAGGCTTCTCGCACGAGGGGCTGGAACTGACAGAGGAGAGCTCACCCCGCTCCCCGCATTCCAACCTAGCAGTTCAGCTGGTACAAGGGTTTAGCCCATTGCTCCAAAGGGGCTCTTTGCCACTGCAGATGAGGCCTAGGGATCATTTGGAGGATTCATATTCCCGGGTCCGCATTTCGAATGCGCAAAGGCAGCGGGATGCATCTTCACCGTAGAATTACTGCAGTTCGACCCGCGTTCACTGCTAGGGCTCCATGCTAAGGGGCTGGGCCTTTAACCTTCTGGACAAAGAGCGCTAGCTAGTGCCTTCCCAAACTAGAGGCTTCAGCATTCCAAAGCATGGAGCCAGGGCAGTTCAAGAGGTCTCAAGCTGCCTTCGTTTGGCAGTGTGGACGGCCGGCCTGCTCGAGGCTCCCTCCCTCCGGGCGTAGAGGCAAAGGGTCCCAGTGCGGACCCGCGTCCCAATTGCCAGCATATGCTTCCCCCTCAGCCCCCTCCTCCGCCTCGTTCCCGGGGGAAATCAGGGCATTGATTGGGGCCTCACCTCCTCGAGGCACGTTGCGGACAGGACAGGCCTCCGGGCGAGAGGGAAAGGCCAGAGGGAAAGGCCCTGTCTGCACTGAGCACTGAAGGTAGCTCCAAACCGGGATGGAAGAAAATCGTTCCCCTGTGCAGAGGTTACATAGGAAATCCTGGAAACTGTTTGAGGCCCGGAGGGTGAAGACACAAACCACAGAGCAGTGATGCTTGCATGAAGGGCTTTTGGGGGAGTTTGTTGTCTGTCCCCCTGCAGTTCGATGCTAGCTTCAAATTGCATTAAATTGGCAGTGTAGACGGGGCCAGGGAGAGAGGGGATGATAAGATAGAGATGAGAGATGAGAGAGAGAGAGAGAGAGAGAGAGAGAGAGAGCTTTCCCGCATATTTCCACGGGGGAGAGAAAAAGGACCCCCTCCCCAAGAATTCAAGGCCTCATTGGCTTGCATGGGCCAGGGGGCAACACTCACTCACTCAGCTATCCCAGGGCAATATCATAGGTTGGGTCTACACCGCCATATAATGTAGTTTGAACTGCCTTATATGGTCAGTGCAGAAATTCTCGATAATTCAAGGCCCTCTTGGCTTGCATGGGCCAGGAGACAAGACATACTCAGCTACCCCAGGGCAAAATCATAGGCTGGTTCTACATAGCCATATCATGTAGTTTGAAGAGCATTAGACGGGCCTGTGTACTGATCATATAATGCAGTATAAACTACATAATGGGTCTATGCCCCGTCTGCACTGACTATTGAGGGTAGCCCCAAACCGGGGTGGAAGAAAATGGTTCCACTGTGCAGAGGTTACATAGGAAATCCTGGCACCAATTTGGGGCCCGGAGGGTGATGACACAAACCATAGAGCCATGGTAGGCATGAAGGGCTTTTGAGGAAGTTTGTTGTCTGTCCCCCTGCAGTTGCATGCTAGCTTCCAAATACATTAAATGGTCAGTGTAGACGGGACCAGAGAGAGGGGGGCGGGGGCGGCGATGAGAGAGAGATGAGAGAGAGAGAGAGAGAGAGAGAGTGCTTGCCCGCATATTTCCACGCGAGAAAGAAAGAAGGACCCCCTTCTCGAGAATTCAAGGCCTCATTGGCTTGCATGGGCCAGGAGGCAGGACATACTCAGCTATTTCAGGGCAAAAGTACAGGCTGGGTCTACATAGCCGTATCATGTAGTTTGAACCGCATTAGATGGGCCTGTGTACTGATCATATAATGCCGTATAAACTACGTAATGGGTTTATACTCCGTCTACATTGAGCATTGAGGGTAGCTCCAAATCGGGATGGAAGAACAGGGTTCGGCTGTGCAGCGGCTACATAGGAAATCCTGGAATCAGCTTGAGGCCACGGGGGTGAAGACACTAACAAACCACAGAGCAGTGATGCTTGCATGAAGGGCTTTTGGGGGAGTTTGTTGTCTGTCCCCCTGCAGTTCGATGCTAGCTTCAAATTGCATTAAATTGGCAGTGTAGACGGGGCCAGGGAGAGAGGGGATGATAAGATAGAGATGAGAGATGAGAGAGAGAGAGAGAGAGAGAGAGAGAGAGAGAGAGAGATTGCTCGCTTATTTCTACGGGGGGGGGGGAGAAGGACCCCCTCCCCGAGAATTCAAGGCCTCATTGGTTTGCATGGGCCAGGAGGCAACACACACTCACTCAGCTATCCCAGGTCAAAATCATTGGCTGGGTCTACACTGCCATATAATGTAGTTTGAACTGCCTTATATGGTCAGTACAAATAGACCCATTTGATGCAGTTTGAGCTGCCTTATATGGGTCTGTGTACTGATCATATAATGCAGTATAAACCACCTCATGGGTCTATACTGACTATATAATGCCGTGTAGTCATATCCATAGAGAAGTGAGCAGCTGGGGCTGGATGGGGGCCGTGGGTTTGAGAGAGGGGGAGGCCAGGGCGATTCCTGTGTAATCCAGGGCAACGGGAGGGGTAAGAGAGGAGGAATGAAAGAGAGGGGGGGGGGCTGGGAATCAATATCTAGGGGTGGTGTGCGGGGGGGGGGAAGGGGGGGTCTTTGCCGCCCCTCCTCTTTCAAAACTCTCTTTCTAATGGTATGTCCCAGAAGTCGAGATAAAAAGCAATACAGAGAGAGAGAGAGAGAGAGAGAAAGGAGGTCTCTCTTGCCCTAGATGCTTTCTCTCCTTCCTGGCTTTCTGGGGTGGCTTTTCCTTGGCGCTGGCTTTCTCCCCTCCCCCTCCCTTTCCCCCCTCCTCTCCCCGCATCGCGTGTCACTTCGGATTTGTCCCGGCGGGCCGCGCGCCCCCTCGGTTGTGTCCGCACTGGCCCCGTGGCTACCTTAAAAAGTCGCTTCCCCTCGAAGGGGAAACGAGTAGAGTTCAATCTCGTCGGAGTGATACCCAAATCCGGACAGAAAGGGTCGTTTTTATCATGCTCCTATTTGTCGTGACGATGCAATTTTCAAAAGCGGAGCGGTGTCATAAAGTGACATGTCTGCCACAAATGCTCCAACTGATCTTTTCAATTAGCCTTCCATGCATGATCCGGGGCGACTTCCGCCTATTTCCAGAAATTAAGCTCAAACTTGACGTGCAGCTAGTTTTATTTTAAAGACAAATGTCAGAGAGACTCATCATATTTTCCCCCTCTTCTATATTTGGAGCTTATTTATTGCTTCGAAGCCGAGGCTCCTGGAGTCAATTTAGCAGGAGGCTCCAAAGAGAGGAGGAGAAGCAGGACTGAGAGAGAGAGAGGCAGAGGCAGAAAGAGAGGGGCAGAGAGAGCGGGCGCAGACCTTCTCCAGGGACCCCTTGGCCTCCAAAGCCTAGCGCTGCAGGTTGGGGATCCTCTTCGAACCCTCTTTTTAGATCCACGCTCAGGTGATCGAGGGGGGAGAGAGGGATTTGGGTTTCCCTCGCATCTGGGAGGATGCAAACCCAGACCACCTCCATGGCTTCTGAAGAATAGCAACTATTTTTATATTATTATTATTATTATTATTATTATTATTATTATTATTATTATTATTATTATTATTATTAATTGCCTTCCTCTTTTCCGGACTATGGAAGGGAGGGAGGAGAGAAATTGGGGGATTTCTTAGTGGGGGCGTTAGGGATGTGGAAAAGAGGGGGTCTCCTGTTGGCTTCCCCCCTTTGGGATCTAGAGGGAGGGAGGGAGGGAGGGAGGGAGGGGGAGGCAGGTGGATGGTCTCTGGGGCGGCGATCGGGGACCGAGGAGCTCTCTCCGACCCCACCCCACCCACCCCACGCCGGAGAGGGGCCGGTTCTCCTCCTCCTGCTCCTCCAGCCCAGCCCTCCCCCTTCTTCCCATCCCCTCTTTCCCCCCAACCTCCGCCGCTTTCGCCCGCTTGCTGCTGCTGCTGCTCCCGCCGCCAAGTCCATGGAAAGCATGACTCTGAGCGAGAGTGGGTACCCCCAAGGCGGCTCTTGTGGGGAGGAGGAGGAGGAGGCTGGCAGGGCTGGGGCCGCGAGTGGGGCTTTTAAGGGGGAAGAGGGGGAATTGGGGAAGGAAGGAGGGAGGGAGGGGGCAGAGGCGGAGAGGCGCGATGGCGAGCGGAGCGGATCTCGGCGGCGGGTTCCCAGCCCTCCTCGGACGGATCGCGATGCCTCCGGAGGAATCCCGCGAGGAGCCTGGTCTCTGGTGGGCTGTGGCGCGGGGGGCAAGGCTGGAAGGTGACCCCACGCGGGGAGAGCGGGCGGGAGTGGAGCTCCTCCGTCCGGCCGCGGAGGAGTGGGCGAAGGGCTGCTTCCGTGGGGAAGGAAGGGCTTTGTGTGCGGGCTGGAGAGGAGGCTCCAGACCCTGAGGAGGAAGGGTCTCTTCCTAGTGAGAGGGCTCTCTTTGCCCCCCAAAGTCCCCCCATGCCTTCCCTCCCCTAAACCCCCGGGGGGGGCTCCCTTTCCGTACCCCCGTCCCCTCTCTTCCTTCTTTCTTTCCTGTCTTCCTTCTTTCCTGCCTTCCTCCCCCTTTCCCCCATTCCTTCCTTCCTTCCTTCTCAGGTGGCCGAGGCTCCCATTTCTCCTTCTCTTCCTCCCCCGTCCACGCAGGTCACAGCGGCGTCAACCAGCTCGGCGGCGTGTTCGTGAACGGCCGGCCGCTGCCCGATTCCACCCGGCAGAAAATCGTGGAACTGGCCCACAGCGGGGCCCGGCCCTGCGACATCTCCCGAATCCTGCAGGTGAACATGGCCGGTCGCCGCCCCGGCTCCTCCGGCCCCCCATCCCCCCCGCCCCCTTTGCTGTGTTTCCCTATGCTATGCTATGCTGTGTGTGGGTCACCCACGGAGGTGGGGGTTGGGACAGGGCTTTGTTTGGGGCGCCCCTTTGGGCAGAAGGGGGGGGATCCGGTGTGGACAAGGAAGCACCTTCCTCCTCCTCCTCCTCAACCCTCCTGGGCCAGTCTGCCTCTCTAACTCCTAGGGCTGTGCCTCGGGAGGGAGACTCAAAGGGTTCTTCCACACAGTCCTATATCCCAGAACACCATGGCAGAAAATCCCACGAGATCTGCTTTGAACTGGGTTATCTGAGTCCACACTGCCATATATTTCCAGTTCAAAGCAGACAATGTGGGGTTTTATTCAGTTGTGTGGAAGGGGCCAGAGGGACCTCCAGTAGACATTGTCGCTTGACACTCTGCCTTCCCGCAGTGTAAACACTTTGATTCGAATTAACTGCCTGGAGGTGGACCGGGGGATGTGAAGCTCCCCAACCTACACACACTGAGCTGGAAAAAAGTAAAGGGTTTTGGCTTTGTTTCAAGGAGACTTCTGTCCAATCAAGTGTGTCTAGGTCAGAGGTGTTGACTCTTCCCCCCACCCCGCTAGGACTTCTGCATGTCAGTATCTATATATATGTGTGTGTTTGTATATATTTATATTGATCGATGTCTATATTTCGATATTGAGAAACAAGAAGCATCTCTGGTCCCCTTGGAAAGATTAACTGGTGGCCCTTCCACACAGCCCTATAGCCCAGAACATCAAGGCAGAAAAGCCCACAGTTGTGGACTCAGATAACCCAGTTGAAAGTGGGCTTTTCTGCCTTGATATTCCGGGATAGAGGGCTGTGTGGAAGGGCCCTGGGCGCTGATTTGTTTCTGAGAGAGTGATTTGGCCAGGGATTTGGCTTAGGGATCCCGGTAGCATTATTCCTGCTCTAGATCTCCCCCACCTCCCTTCCCGACCAACCCTTAGCGACCTGACTCTTTTGGAAACTGGTCCGATGGTGTCTCTAGTTCCATCCCTACCGAGATCTGACATTTTTCTCCGGTTTTTCTCCCACCCTTTCCCTTTTACAAGTGGGTTTTTTACTAAAATATAAATATCTCACCTCTGTAGTGTGTAGGGCCACAAATGTAATATTTTTAAGAGAAAGAGAAAAAAAGAAAAGAAAAGAAAACCTCTCTTAAGTAAGTTCTCATACCATTTAAGGTATATTTTTGTGTTATAGACCCATGCAGATGCAAAAGTCCAAGTGCTGGACAATCAAAACGTAAGCTTGTCATTGTTTAATGCCTACTTAAACAATTTTATTTTTGTCTTGAAATTATTAATAATGTGATTTTCTGTCCGCTTCCCTGATGCAGGTATCGAATGGCTGTGTGAGTAAAATTCTGGGCAGGTATTACGAAACTGGCTCCATCCGACCGCGGGCAATCGGAGGTAGTAAGCCGAGAGTAGCGACTCCAGAAGTTGTAAGCAAAATAGCACAGTATAAACGGGAGTGCCCCTCCATCTTTGCTTGGGAGATCCGAGACAGATTACTATCGGAGGGGGTCTGTACCAACGATAATATACCCAGCGTAAGTGCCTCCAGAAACCCCCTTTTCCCCTCTGCGCTCTAGAACCCTCTCAGGAGGGAACGGGTTGTTCCTCGCTCTGACCTCCCTTCCCTTTGTTCTCCCGGGCCAAAGTGAGCCCACGCAAGCTCGCCCACGCGCGTCTCCCTTTGTCTTTCACGAGGGGGAATTTCGGGATTCATGGGGGTGGGAGAATTGAAAGCAACCACAGCCAAGGAGGATCTCAACCCCTCCTTGGCTTTTGGGCTGAACAGAAATCCTCCCAAATTCAAGCCACACAAATTGGATTAAAGAAATGAACAATTGATGCCCAACAGAACCTGTGGCGAGGACCAAAGGGAGAAGCTCTGTGGGTGAGTTCTGCATTGAACCAGGTCTCATGCCATCCGGAGGCTGGTTGGTTCTCTCCCCTTATTCCGCCCCCATGGGAAGAGGAAAAACGAAGAAGGGGAGGAAAGTAACCAGCTTCCACGCCTGGATAGAGACCTGGTACCAAGCTCACTTCCTTATCTACTCTAAGGGGGACAGTGGTGGTTGTAGTTCTTTCTCCAAATGGATTGGCAACCTCTGGGTTCGGGGCTTTTCTCCACGCGCTTCTTTTGCTTCCACAGCCCCCCTTGTCCTCTCTGGTCCTCCTGGCGATGGCCAGCTCTTGACTTCAGAGGCCATCAAAACCAATGGGGTTCCACCTTCCCCATCCCACCATCCCAAGGGCTGCTGCCAACCGACCCCCATTTGCGGGAAGTCCTTGGTGGGAATGTCTGGGTTCTCAGTGGGTCTGCGTCTTCTCTGAGGAATATCTCAGAGAGAGTGGGAGTGGGAGTGGGATTTGGGGGAGGGAATGGGGGACTCTGAGTCCTGGGTAGGTCTGTCTCTCCTCTGAGGAAAATCTCAGAGGGGGTGTCGATGCTAGTGGGATTTGTGGAGAGCGAGGGGGGACTGGCTGACTCTCTGAGTTCCCAGTGGGTCTGTCTCTTCTCTGAAAAATATCTCAGAGGGGATGTTGATGCTAGTGGAATTAGGCGATGGGGACTCTCTGAGTTCTCAGTAGGTCTGTCTCTCTTCTGAGGAACATCTCACGAGGTTGGAGATGCTAATGGGGTTTGGGGGGATGGAAAGAGGGACTTTCTGAGTTCTCAGTGGGTCTGACTCTCTTCTGAGGAACATCTCAAAAGATTGGGGATGCTAATGGGGTTTGGGAAGATGGAAGGAGGGACTTTCTGAGTTCTTAGTGGGTCTGACTCTCTTCTGAGGAACCTCTCCGAGAGGTTGGAGATGCTAATAAATTTGGGGGGGGGGGGAGGAAGGAGGGAGGGACTTTCTGGGTTTGTCTCTTCTCTGAGGAACAGTCGTCGATGTTTGTGGGGCGGAGGGCGAGGAAGTGGGTGCTGTATATGGTTTGCTTTCCTTCCGAGGAAAGCCCACCTCCCTGTTGCAACCGTGGGGCTGACTGCCGCCTCTCTTTCAGGTCTCTTCGATCAACAGAGTCCTCCGCAACCTGGCTAGCGAAAAGCAACAGATGGGTGCCGATGGAATGTATGACAAGCTGAGGATGCTGAACGGGCAAAGCGGGACGTGGGGCACGAGGCCGGGCTGGTACCCGGGCACCTCCGTCCCAGGGCAGCCGGCGCCAGGTAAGGCCGAAAGAGGGGAGGAAGAGAGGGAGAGGAGGAAGAGAAAGAGCCGGACGGAGAGATCAGGCCTCTGCCCACCCCCACCCTGATCAATCCCTAATGTCTAATGACCCCTCACAGCCTAAAGTAGCCCAATTCGGCCTGGTTGCCTGCCTTTTGACTCCACCCACTCCTTCTCTCTCTCTCTCTTGGCGTCACCTTCCTTCGCCTCAATATCTTGTCTCTTGTCACCGTCGGGGATGCCTCGTGTGAACAGCCATAAAGCAGAGGGGAGGGGGGAATGGTCAAGGGATTGGGAAGGATTCTCCTGCGCCCCAAATATTTAAATCTMCCCCCCCCCCCCACACACACACACACCCCGCATGAAAAGACGATGCCTTTCCTCTTCTCTCTTTCTTGTCCCAATCTTCCGCCTCACACTGTATGGGAATCCCAAAACACACACACACATACACACAGCTAGTCGATTGAAACGCGCTTTAATCAACCACAGCCTCCCAGACGCTAAACCGCTGACAGGCGGAGAATACAACATCATTGTATCAGGTGGCTCTTTAAGGGTAATTGACAAATGATGTGACTGCCTGTGAGGAGAGAGCATTACCGATAATGGACCAGGAGGGAATAGAGGCTTCTGCCAGCAGCACCTCGGACAAACAAACGGGTGCCTTTCCACTACTCTGGCCCCTTCCACACAGCTGAGTAAAATCCCACCTTATCTGCTTTGAACTGGAATATGTGGCAGTGTGGACTCAGATAACTCAGTTCAAAGCAGGTACTGTGGGATTTTCTGCCCTGATATTCTGGCTGTGTGGAAAAGCCCTTTGTTTTAATTCGGGTTTCTTCGCTTCCACTTCGGCCCCTTCCACACAGCTGAATAAAATCCCACATTATCTGCTTTGAACTGGATTATATGGCAGTGTGGACTCAGATAACCCAGTTCAAAGCATATATTGTGGGATTTTATGCCTTGATATTCTGGGTTCTATAGCTGTGTGGAAAGCTCCTTCTTTCTCTCCTGCTATCTTTGGTTGTTCCTTTTTTCCCCTCGCTGCAAGTGTTGGGGTATTAGGTATTGTGTGTGTGTTGAAGTTTCCTGTTTGACCCCACGAGTTTTCTGAGAGTTTTCTTCAGCAAGGAATACTCAAGACTCATATAATGCAGACTGAAGTGCATTGATCTCAAGTTTATGAGTCTGGGGGCCCTTCCACACAGCCGTATATCCCAGAATATCAAGGCAGGAAAATCCCGCAATATCTGCTTTGAACTGGTTTATCTGAGCCTTGATCTTCTGGGATATAGGGCTGCGTGGAAGGGCCCTGCACTGCCATATGATCAATTTCAATGCAGTCAATCCGACTTCTGAAATTGCATTATATGGCAGTGTAGATAAAGGTCTCAGGGGAAGTTTTTCCATCTCCTTTCTTTGAAATATAACCCATCCAGGAAGTAACCAGGGCTGACCCTGCTTAGCATCCAAGATCAGGCGGTATCTGATTATTATTATTATTATTATTATTATTCCGTGTCAGGAGCGACTTGAGAAACTGCAAGTCGCTTTTGGTGTGAGAGAATTAGCTGTCTGCAAGGACGTTGCCTAGGGGACGCCCAGATGTTTTATCATCCTTGTGGGAGGCTTCTCGCATGTCCCCGTATGAGGAGCTGGAACTGACGGAGGGAGCTCATCCGCGCTCTCCCCGGATTCGAACCTCTGACCTGTCGGTCTGCCATCCCGCGGTATCTGATGCCTTTTGGGTATTTAGGCCCGGTAGGAAACGTGGCCTCTGTGAGACAATCACAAAAATGCCTTGATTTGATTTCCCGCATGGGTCTTCCTTGAGGGGAAAGGACCGATCCAGGCTGGAGCCGGTCTGGATTCGCTTCTCTCCGGAGTTGCTCGGCTTTTTCCTTTCCTGCTCCCAAAGTGGTCAAGACGGGCCTCTGTTTATCCTGAAGATTAAGAGGTGTTTGCTGTGGGGAATGACAAGGGGTTAATGGGAAGGAGAAGAGGACGAGCGGCGGGTCTCTTCCTCCAGGCCCCCCTCTCTCTCTCCGGGCTCCGGCCTGGTCTTCTCTCCCCCCCCCTCTCTCTCTTTCTCCGGAGAGGTGTCTGCCTGCCCAGCAACCTGTTTTGGGGGGGCTTTGTTTTCCCTTCGGAAAAGGAGGTTAAGACGGGAGAGCGAGCGAGCGAGCGAGGGGGCTGAAAGAGCGAGAGAAAGAAAGAAAGAAAATCAGTAACAATATGCGGAATATCGGGTACAAAGGATGTTTCTGTCACACGCAAGAATTTGTTATGGGAACAATTCTGCCGCTATGTAATTGCTCATTAGAGATCGTTTTGTTTCTCATTAAGGCGACATGAATAAGCGTCTAGTTGAAGGAGACAGCTGTAGAAATGTTCCACAGGAGACCTCTGGACACGATATGGCACCGCTTGCCAATTAGGCATGTCAGTTTTTTAAGGGAAGGGCGCCTTCTGGGGGGACCTGGGAGAGGCAGGCAGGGGCCGGGCCCATCCCGGGACAGAGCAGGAAGAGGAATTGGAGGAGGAGGAGGAGGAACTCAGGAACTCAGTCTAGTTTGCTTCTTTGGCAAAATGCGTCCTGGAATCCAAGGGAAGGTCTGGAAAGGTTGGTGTTGACCTCACTGGAGAGATCCCAGTCTTACACCAACCATATTATGGAGGAGTCTCCCTCATGGCAAAAAAATCCCTGTTGCCTTTCAGGTGGGACTATTTGTGACCCTTTCCCAAGACCCCCAACGCCAGGTATTGAGAGCTTAGAACAGGCATGGGCAAAGCCCTCAGCCGCTTTTCGCCCTCAGCCGCTTAAGCGGTTGAGGGGGGAAAGGAAAGGGCCTGAGGCTGTTAGGGATTGTGGGAGTTGAAGTCCAAAACACTTGGCAGGCCGAAGTTTGTGATAGGAATGAGGATAGGATTCCTATGGGATATGAATGAGGAGATGTTAGGCTCAAAAATAACCCTCACTTAGGGGGTGATTCCACAAAAATATAGCAGAGTGCCAGAAACACAATTCATAACCAGCACAAGCTTACTGTGTAAAGTGCAAGGATTAGTTTCCATTCTACAACAGGATTGCAGGAGCTACAACTTCATCTATATATAAATAAAAATGTAATGTTCGTTTGTGGGATTAACATAACTCAAAAACCACTTGACAAACGGACACCACATTTGGACACAATACACCTATTAGGCCAAGGAGCAACCATCACTCATAAAAAACACTGAAAAACACACCAGAAGAGACTTAAAAAGCAAAAAAATTAAAAAAAATAAAAAATAAAAAATACATTACAACACATGCACAAAACCACATATATACAGAAATGCACACACAAAAAACACATATGCACAGCCTGGGACACAGCAACGCCTGGCAGGGGACGGCTAGTCTATATAAATAAAAATGTAATGCTCGTTTGTGGAACTGACATAATTCAAAAACCACCGGACTAATTGACACCAAATTTGGACACAATACACCTATCAGGCCAACTAGTGACTATCACACATAAAAACACTGAAAAACACAGCGGAAGCTACTTAAAAAGCAATTTTTTAAAATAATAATACAACACATGTGCAAAACCTCATATACGCACATATATACACACATATATGTATACACACAAAACACATATACACCGACTGGGCCACAGCAACGAATGGCAGGGGGTGGCTAGTAGGTTCTAAAAATAATAAGTTTATTAAAGTCAAAAGAAATCCATTCTGGGTAGAAAACGTTATTGTAGTTAACTAGCTTCACTGAGCTTTTTTCTAAGGAAAGGGAAATAAATAAATAAATAGTATCCATGCAATTCCATCTTGCCTGGAGACTGGCAAGAAGCATCCTCACTCAAGGAAGACAAAAGGAAGAGAGAGACCTAAAATGGAGACAGGACCCAAAGCTAGGCCAGGGCAATACAAATACCTTTAAAAGAGGAAGTTACCCCATCCCTCAAAATGTCACATTGCTAAGTGTCCAAAAAGGGGAGGAGATAGTGGCACGCAGGAAGAGTAAGGACAGAGCCCCTTCTAAGCCCCTTCTTGAGATAGGCATGCATAGGGAAACTGAGGAAGGAATTCCTCACTCTAATCCCTTCTAGGCTAACAACTCATTGAGGGCTGGAGACTTGTGCAGTCAGGGATGAAACTCAACAGTTTGCCTATGCCTGGCTTACAAGCTATTTCTAGACATTTCCTTTGGATTCCAGTCTCTGATCAAGAATGCCTCTCCCCTCCATACGAACGTGGGCAGCCCCATTGAATGCCCAGGACATGAAAAAGAAAAAAAAACGAGCAAGAAGAGGGGGTGTTTGAAGTGTTCCTTCAGAAGGAAGCCGCCTGTTATATCTTGAAGCATATTTTCGGTGTGAAATCGGATTTTTTTGTGAGGCGGGGGGGGGGGGGGGGGCCTCAGGCCTCTTTCACACAGCTGAATAAAATCCCACATTTTCTGTATTGTCGAAGGTTTTCATGGCCGGAATCACTGGGTTGTTGTAGTCTTTCTGGGCTTGTATGGCCTTGTTCCACATTTTCTGCTTTGAACTGGAATATATGGCGGTGTGGACTCAGCTAAACCAGTACAAAGCAAATATTGTGGGATTTTCTGCCTTGATCTTCTGGATTATGTGTGATGGGTTTCATCCCTGACTGCACAAGTCTCCAGCCCTCAATGAGTAGCCTAAATAGAATTAGAGTGAGGGATTTGAGGGTTGCATTTGAGCCTAACAGCTCTGATTCCCATCAATGTGTCTGTGTGGAAGGGCCCTCGGTGTCGTGCTTGAGGTTAGTAGTTCAAGCAGGGGCTTCCCTCCTGAAATATGTATTTGGATGTGAGAAAGTGGAAGGAAGGAAATTGAATCGAATCTTCCATTCCCACACATAGAAGTCACCCCCAATCATGGATTAATAGTATGGCGAAGAGGGGAAAGACAAAGAGATTTGGTTTTCTGGTATGCAGACACGTTGTGGTGCT